CCACACGCATACCCGCACCCGCACGCTTGCTACGCTCGAAAGTGCTTGCATAGAGACGAATTCGGATTTAATATTACAGCATGCAATAGTCTATAGCAACATATTTAAGAGTTCATGTATCTGACAACAAGCTATCATACTACATTTTGAGCTTTTTAGGAAGAGAAATTAGAAAAAAGAAAAAAACACATGAAAGAGAATATGAAAAGAAAGAAGGGATTGAGAGCACTAATACAGAACAGAAGGAAAAGAAAAATCGAGAGATAGGATACAGAAGAAAGAAAAAATGCGATAAAATAGAAAAAAACAGAGCACATAAACAAGAGCACATCGATGCACGCATGGTTATTTTATGGAAAAGGAAAATATATCATTGCAAGAAGCATAACATCCTAAATCTGATTTATTGATTTGCTTTTATCTTTTGTTAAGGTATTTTGTAACGTAAATATCGAGAAGGTTTTTGTTGCACCCCGAGAGAATTTAAATAATCCGAATAAATATTTTGATTTTGAGTTCAATTATGAAGTATTATAAATTTTATAACTTTACATAACATATCGACCTGTCTGAATAAAGAGAAAAATCTAGTTTCTTTGATCGTTTTTATAAACAAAAAATGATAGAATTTTCTCATGGGTTTTTGAAGATTTCATTCTTCCATTTACGAGCTTGGATCACATGCCAGTATGATTAATTTTAGATGGATCGTTCAATGTTAGGATTATTTTAAATTTCGCGTACAGAAATGTCTAAGAAAGATTATAGATCTCATATTGAGAAAAAAAGAAGAATAAAAACTCTTTTGAAAGATCCAATCAGTCATATCTTCGGTTGATTTGTGATTAACTTATAATATTGTAATAATTTCTTAGAGTAGTCTTTTGCAAAGGTTTGAGCATTTGCTAAAAAGATTAGTCGAGAAAAATTCCGTTAAAATTCTAATTAATTCATTTTATTTTCTCGATATTCATCTATTTTTTTTTAATACATGCAGTTAAAATACTTTTAAATCGTAATTTGAAAAAGGGTGTAGGGCTGGGTGGGTGTGGGTGTGTGGTGGATATTTAATATATCCCCGATCGCACGCACACTCACACGCACACTCACATGTACACCCCACATTCACACCCACACCCCACCCACATTCACACCCCACACCCACACCCCATACCCACACCCCACCCACATTCACACCCCACACCCACACCCTGTGCTCTTATTCTTTTGCTTTTAATCTATAATTCCCTAGACTGAAAGGATAGGGTCTAGAAACGGGAATTGATCTGTCTGCACATATATCGTTTTTGTCGGTAACATGGCACAAATGGCCACTTTTTCGGTACAAACGACCATGCCACTATGACACAGGTGACCTATTTTGGCACAAATGCCATTTTTTTGGTACAAATGACCATGTAACTATTGCACAAATGAGCAGTTTTTGGCACAAGTTACTATTTTCTTTTTGAGACAGCGACCACGTAACTACGGCACTAGTGACCATTTTGATAAATATGGTACAAAAAACCATATAGTACCCATATTACAAATCAGCATATGACGTATAATAAAATTTTGACAAGTGAATTAGAACAAATACGGAATTTTATGATGCATGGAAATTTTATCATTTTAAATGTGTTTTTTTTTGAGTATAAATAACGCTAATCTTATTAGCGATTTTTGTACTCAGAAAAATTTTAGTATTAACTTTCTAATCTTAATCTTATAACTTTCTAACACATATGTGTCCTTATGACGTCAGTCTAGGGTCAGGTGAATCGACTGTCGATGAACGTTACTTGCTCATATAAGGCTCAATTAGACAATAGGTTTATATATAATACTAATGTAATTATCCTCGATAGAGTCAAGCAGAAAGAGAAACAGGGAGGATGTAAATTTTGGTTTCTTTTATGTATGACGGTCACATATTTAGGTGTACTATGGATTTCTATCTGTTCGTTATTTATTTAAATAAAGTGGAAAAAAAAACATCATTAAGAATCTTCTTGATTAGTTAGGATAAAAGCGTTATTTCAGTTTCCATATATGCTACAAAATTTCTGCCGCTTGTGCGTATTCTTCAACGAGGTCTTCCGGATGTTCGATGTTGACCAGTTTGCCATGGATCTTTTGGTTGATTTGTTCGATAACTCTTTGGTTAAATTTTCCAAGCGCCATCGTCCAAAAATTATTTATCAATGCTTTATTATTTGTCTTTGAAGTAATTCCTATCGAAATAAAACGAAAACAGAATCATAAGAATGTTACTCTCTGAATGTATAAGATCTTCTGTAAGATTTAAAAAGTTCATTGACTAACTATTCAGTATTTCTCAATTTGTCATAAAAAAGCTTACACATTCTTACGAACCTTTTCTCCAATCACATAGTTTCTGTAATTCTGCAGTCGAATTGTCTAGAGGTTCGCCATCGGTCATAAAAATAAGTGCTTGTCGAAACCGATCTCGTTCTTGACGACTGTTTACTTCTTCGAGTGTCTTGATAACCATCTGAAATGCAGCAGAATAATATGTACCTCCACCACATATTTCGTTCGGTATGTTCAGTCGTTCAACATCAATATTTTTCAGTTTCTCAAGATTATAAATCCGTTCTGCTCGGTTCCCAAACACAATAACAGTGATATGATCAGCAAAAGCGATTTGCCTTTTACGAACCTTAAGAAATGCTTCAACAGCTTGAAGCAAATGTTCCCAAGGTGTCTTTTCCGATGGAATACCGTTTCTTTCATTCATCGAACCAGAATGATCAAGAACTAAGATAAAGTGACTAATTGGCAGAGGAGTATTCTTTTCGACAAACGTCATCCCATTTCCAAAATGAACACATAGTTTTCTACCAATGCGTTTCCAAATGGATACATAGCGCGTTTCCAAAGTTCCCCGTTTCTTCGGATCACCAAAGTCCCATTTATTATTAGCCTCTTTGAATGTTTCCCAACTCTCCCGCTTATTATCTGTATTCACCGCATCTTCATCTTTTATAATTTCACACCATGCCATTGATGCTTCAGAATTGATTTCATAACGCATGCCACCCATTGCACGAATCTGATGACCGAACTGACAAGAATGCCGATTCTCTCCGGAACCAACAGGCGAAGTAACATCTAAATGATGATCAACGTCACAAATTCGTTTGCAACATGGACATGATTCTCCGCATCCTTTCACTTGTTTTTCTATGAAGCCACGAATGCCTAAGTAGTTCTTGTCAATGAATAACTGCGTCTTATTTTTTATCTTAGACTCGATCTCAATCCGTTGACTAGAAATCTTATCTAAGAAAAGGCCAGGATAAGTGATGGCAGCTGTTTCAAACATATGCTCAGTCGAACGAAAAATTTGCTTTATCTCTTCATTTATCTGTGGAAATTGATCAACAAGCTTCTTCCATGAACTGTCAATTGTATAGACCGAACCAGTTCGAACAGTGATTTCTGTGGGCACTTGTTCTCCGATTAAATAATTATAGAATAGTTTAGCCATGCAGAATTTCTTGTCAGATGATGAACATTTGTTTTGATCATCTTTTGGCTTAAATAGTTCGTCAACAAAAGTAAGCAAATGACCGCCTTGTCCTGCCAAGACTGTGTTCATAGCGTTAATGAATTGAAAAGTTTCATTTAGCCTTCGTGAGACCTGTTCAACAATTTTATTGAGCTCTTCATTCGTTTCTTTTTTCACCATTTCCCATTTTTCCTTAAATCGTTCGATGATAAGGTTTTGTGGATGAAGAATGTAATTCGTAAGCCAGTCATCTGTAGTATTGACGACTTCATCATCGAGCTCTTTAATGATGGACGATCGCAATATTATTTTTGTTCCATTATCTCTGCAATTTTCAAAAATAGTTTTAGCTTGTGGTTCAAATGACTGACTGTATAGAACGACTGAAAGTTCATTAATAAAGTTCATAGCAACACTTTCATCATCATTTTCCACAAGGACCACCCATGGAATATATTTTTCTACTAATCTTAGCCTATTTTCTTGGATATCGTTAATGACATTAAGAAAATCAGTTTTTTGTTCATTGTAATAATATAGAGCTGCTGAAATCACAGTGAAAATATATAAGGAACTGCAGAATTGTTTTGATAAACAGAAACCAAAAATACTTAATTCATTGCTAAAATTTTGAATAATCTTATTGGCCACTCCTAGAATCTCCTGGACAAATTTAATTTCAGTCGAGAACTCGTCACCTTTTTCTGACGTTAAGCATTTTTCTAGATCAGTAGTTAACATTTCGAAGCAACTTGATTTTCTAACTATTGTTTCCCAATTCTTTTGAAAGACTTCTGAAAATTGTTGGCGTAAACCTTTTATAACTGTTGCTCTTGTTTGTTTGCCTTGTCCTTGAAGTTCAAGAAATAACTTTGACAATTTATCTCCATTTAGAAATATATAAGTCTGTTCTATATCTTTGATAGAAATGATTCGAGATGGATCGGTTGAACGTGAAGCTAACAGTTCTAAGTTCGAAGCTCGCGATGCGCATTCAGTATGAATTTTCGATAGACATTCATGTGTTGAGATGGGCTGATCTGTGACAGGATCTAGACTTGTGAGAAAAGGTACGTAGCCTAGTAAATTATCCATTGATGGCAAATCATCAGTAATGAGTACATCGCAGAGATGAGAGACCAATGTAATGCACTGTTTCCATACGAGCTCAGATTTGAATTTGTCTTTGCTATTCTCAGCGAGTAGATTGTCAAATGGTTCTTCGAACATCTTTCTTGCCACCACGCGATCCATTAGATGATTTTTGTGAGTGACACTACTAGTAGTTGCTTTTTCTCTAAGGTTTTTATCGATTTCAATGACCATTTGATTATATTTAAGTCTTTCAGATTTCATGACAGTTGACACTTCCCACGATCGAAAAATATTAATTAATTGTACTTTCATTAGTTGCAATGATCGGTCACGTATGCTGTCTGTTGCTTCATGTTTGTTGCAGTGTTCATTGAGTTTTTCTTCAAGGATTCCTAGCGTACGATTACGTTCCGCTTCGAACGAGTCTCTGATATGATCACGGCTATTTTGTTTTTCTCTTTCAACTAACAGTCGTGCTATTGCAGGAGATAAGTATTGATCAAAGTCCTGTCGAATATCTTCTCGAATCGCTTTATATTGATTACGTTCGAAAACATCTTGAAAATAGGTTAAATTTGGATGTTTTTTAATGGTTTGAAAGACTCGATTGGCAAAATTTATCCAATTGGTGGGTATGCAGAAAGAATCACCGGTCTCGCGAATTATAGCTGATGAAGCGTCAATAAGAAATTTACAAATTTTTTGCACATTGGAAATAAACGTTGGAACAATCACAAATGATACACATTGATCATTCGTGTTTATAAATCGATCTGAGTTGAATGCGTTCGGTAAAACATGAAAATCTTCTATTTGAAGATTAATTTCATCCTCCAACTTATTATCATGCAAGTGTTTTTGAAAGCATTCAATAAGTGACTTGCAATAATCTTTGTTCAAGTCCTGCCTTTTATTGAGAACAAATTGCACTGTTGGTCGTCGAACACGAGTCTCACCAAGATATTTGAGAGCTTGTGTACAAAGAGCAAAGCATTTCTTCATGGGTTCAGAGATTTCTCCATCAATGTTAATGATGACCAAATGAGACACAGCCAAGCAAAAAAGGATCAAACTTTTATCATATTGCTCACTACCCTTCTGAATAGACATTAAACCTTCAGTATCAATAACAAGAATATAGTCATAATCAAGTGAAACGAGTTTGTCTTTGCCAATTCTATTTTGAATATTGACTAATGTTCCGTAAACTCCTACAATGCGAAAATATTACATCTTAAACGAATGCGAATGAAACAGATGATCGCATCCTATTCTCAATGAATAATCATCAGTTGATCTTTAAATACAATATGCTTGTGTTTCTCATATACAAACAACGTCCTTCATAAATATAGTTATCTCTGTCTATGTTATGAATTAGCTTTGTGTGTCCTTTTTGTTGTTATATTATAACATTTTCTTACCTTTAGTACATCTTCCATCATGTGCTTCAAATGAAGTGCCAAATAAAAAGTTAAGCAGCGTACTTTTACCACTATTCTGAGGTCCAATCACGCTAATGACAAAAAATTTCTTATTGGAAAATAACTGAAAAACTTCGGTTAAGAAATGTTCTTGCATTTCAAAATTATCACCGTCGACTATTTCGAATGGCTTGCCTTCAACAATATAATCTTGATAAGCCTTAATCAACATCTGCTGCTTAACATTTGGAAGTGAGGTAGAACCAATAATTATATTACGCCAATGTATTTCAAGTGAGAGTCGGTCGTAAAATGGTAGGTCCTGGTGCTTTTTTCCTCGTTTTTCTCGTTCATGTGCGAGTTCCATTGATAATAAATGCAAATGATTGAAGCGTGTGTCATGATTATCGAGTAATTCGAAGAACTGTATGAACCCAGTCCCGAAACAGTTTGCACCCATTTGTTGTCTGTTTTTGAATTGGGAGACGGCTTTGAACAATTGGTCATTAAGCTCATAGAGTTTGTCGCTGTCAAACTTTTTTTCATATGGGTCAAGTTTGGCGACTTCCAATCTTTTCTCACACATACTCATGAATGAAGAATAAAGAGGATAATCTTCGATTTTGCCTGTAATCAAGACGTCTCGAATATTGTTAATAAAAATTTTATTTTGTTTGATGATCTCTTTTTCAGTGCTATCCAATAGTTTTTCTAAATGTTCTTGGATCAATGTTTTATCAAAGCATCGAAGTTGAGCTGCATTACTAAATATACTTTCACGTAGCCTTTTTATTTGTGACTTATTTTGAAGCGAACTTTTGTTAGTGACATCTGTTAAATGAACGATTTGAGAATGAGAACAAGCAGAGCGTATAGTATCAACTGATGATTTTAGTTTTGGATCATTGTCAGTTTTCGAATCACGAATAAGTAGCCAAATATAGCCTTGACATGGTAGCGATGTGAGATATTTGATGACATTTGCTTGATTCGAGCATAAATATTTACATTCGACATGAATGAGAAAACCATTGAATAATATTGATATTTCATTGAGAGTGTCAATAGAGATTTCACCATGAGCATCCGCGATATTAATAGGGCGTCGTTGATTGAAATGAAAGCCGAAATCAATGTCGACTGTTTCACAAAAGTATAGATCTTCCATGGATTCTTCAAAGTTACTGCTGAAGACAGCATTAATTAATGTAGATTTTCCTTTACATTGACCAATACCAAATGACAGCAAAATGGGTCGCTCATAATCCCATATATGGATTATGCTAGGTATCGCACGATATTTGTTTTTGGTTAAATCAGTTGAAGGTTGTATCATTGGTACAGAGTTACGCTTGCTGAGAAGAGATATTAAATGCTGACCGAGAAATCGATTGGAATTCATCATTATAGTGTCAATTAATAAACGTTGACTCACAAATGGTTTATTCATCGATTCTATTACCCCAACTTTAAGGGTATCGAAAAAATCTTTAAGACTTTGTTGGCGTTTCAGCATATACATCACCGGTTGAACAACTTCAACAATGAAAGCTTTAAAATCAGGACTTGGATCGTTTTTAAACTTATCAACAATATCATTTGCAATGTCTTCCATTGTTTTTTCCATATATTGAAGCTCACCCGCATTGACAAGATATTTAAAAGTGTAACAAAAGTCATTCGTATCTTTGTTATTGATTTCTGAAAAGAATTTATCAGCAAGTATATTGGTGAATAAATATGGTGAGGATTTCTGAACTCTTCAAACATAAACATGTGGTTGAGACGAAATTATCAGGCGAATTGGAAGAACATTTTCGGATAGATTTTATGTTCGAACACGACACTCTCGAGAGAAGTAACACATCTAAGTATTCTAGGTTCAATAAATTCATATACTGACTTTAAAAAAATCCTCCGCCGATGTGTCATCAGTAAAACAGACAAACAACAATGGTGTTTCAGTAGAACTGCGATTGTTACAGCTCATGAACTGTCACAAAAGTTCAGTTCAGTTCGGAGTACTAATAAATGCCGACTATTTAGAGGTATCCTTAAGACCTCAAGGATTGTACTCTGGCATTTCATTTATGATCGCAAGGGTTGTACTCCAGTGGTATCTTTAGGACCTCAAGGGCTGTGTTCTCGAGGTACCCTTAGTACATCAAGAGCTGTGCTCTAGGATTACACTTAGGACCACAAGAGCCGTGTCCTATGGTTACACTAAGAGCGCAATGGCTGTGTTCTTGAGCTACCCTTAGTACCTCAAGGGCTGGGTTCTAGAAGTGCATACAGGAGATTAAGTGCTATATGATGGAGTCGATGATAGAGGCCTTGAGTCCGCGACAGTACCCTGGACAATAGCCTTTGAGGTTCTAAGGATGCTTTCATAAAATGACTTTTATTCATTCTCGCTAGGTGAACTCAACTGTTCTATCAGTTCAGTTCAACTCTGTTTTTTGAACAGTTTACCAGTTCGGTACTATTTCCGAACTGTCATAGTCCTATGGGTCAGTGAATTCTGCTCCTAGGTCTGAGAAATTTATAATTTTTTCTTCGTAGACTTGAAAAGAAAATCACCAGCTCTTCTCTAACAAACGGTGCATCCCTTAGAGCAGTTCAAAATCACTTAGGAGAAGTATCAACTCTCTTAAGGTGAAGGCATGTCGATAGTACTAGTCATCACAAATTATGTAGTGGTTATAAAATCAAAGAAAGCATTAATTCTATAAAATTGTAGAGTCTCAAGTTTTACATCCAATACGATTTGAATTCGAAAGCGTTCACAATTGGATACTCGAATACTATTTGGAGCCTTTGCATAGCTAAAGTTCCAATAATGAAAAAGATTTTCATTTTATTAACAAACCCGAATTCAAAGATGGATTTGGAACCGCGATCAACTCTTCTGCTTTTTTATTGATTCGTTGCTCATGATCAGATTCAATTATTGAAACAAACCGATCCAATTTAATAACAAGTGCTTTGATCTGAACAAATTGGCTGATAATAAAGCAAAAATTAAGTATAATGTTTTTTACCTTGCTATATTCTTTCGCCCATTGGATGTGATTTTCTCGTTCTATACAAAAGATATAAATAGTTAATAGTTGTTCTAGCCGATGAATTCGAGGAACTAGCTCTCTGCCAAATTCTCCACTAACAATAAGAATAACTTCATTAGTTCTAGTCCATTGTTGAATAGCATTTTCACCATCGACAACTGAGGTGAACGCTTTGACATTCTTATAAATACTAGTTAAGTTTTGTTGAGCATTCAAATTTTCATCACTGTTCGCAGATGGATCTATCCATATTAAAACCAGATTTTCCGTTTTATTGTTGTCTGCTCGATGACTTTCGCTTGATAAAATATCGGTTGCCATATTTCGTCAGATGCTATAAGTTGATAAGCGTTGTTTATGTATTCTAAGTCACTTTCTTTGGTTGGTTATGTTGGGTTTGTCTTCGAAACGAGTGTTGCGGGTAATGTGTCTTCACAGTTAGTCTTTGAACTAATTGATAATGACTTCCTTAGAAAATAAGACAAATTTTCGTATAATACGTTGTCCAATGAAACGTTTTGACGTGATTTTGTGTCTACAAAGTACCGAATAATAGATATAAAATATCAGAAATATGAAATGAAAAAAAACTGCTCTTCCTTGCTTCATATATAAGAAATCTGTTTATTATTTTCATGATAACGGCCTTCATCTGTTCTCTACTGCACACATGCACTAAGCAAGCAGAAAGAATATGTTGTTTTCTATTTCTGGGTATTATGTAACTCATTACTAATTATCAAACATGCTGAACATCTAAATCATACAAAGATAGTACGGTAGCAAAATTGTATCTATTGAAATTGAGTAACTGTAAACAACGAATATGCATTTGCAACTAATTCCCTGATGTATCTCTAAGATAGAAGTGTCTCGGGTATATCTCTATATGTCTTAAAGTCATCTATCCAAGTTAAAAATACCGAAACGAATAATCTTATATTTTTACCTTCACTCCGAAAAATGTCGTTTATTGCATCTTTATATAGTCGCTCATTATATTACATAATATCTAACTATTTACTTTTAAATGACTACTATACCTAGGCTGACTTAAGAGTGGTTACGGGGTCGATTAGTCATTACTGCCCATGTTGGCAAAATTTGATAGAGATAAAGAAGATGACTAATCGTAGAAAAGAAAGACTTCTTTTTCGTTAGTATTTTCGCCAGTTGGTTGAAACCTATGATATCAACTTTACGCACACGGTCCAAAATTCATCAATTCTTCATAACTGCCAGAGTTGTGAGTATCAAAGAAAATGTCTCATTATTCTAAATATATGCTACTGTCGTTCGAAAAGCAATGGGACAACAAAGAAAATATATGATGGCGTCTTATTATGTGATTTGTTGAAAGGACTCGTTTTTGATCATAAGAATGCGTTGCCCACTATGACACATAAAATTATAAAAGTCATCCGATTTTGGTATTTTTGGGGTGTCGGTGTGGGTGTGGGTGTGGGTATGCGTGTGA